ACCCTTCCACCCATCTATCCATCCATTCATCCATCCACCCTTCCATCCACCCACCTGACCATCCATCCACCCTTCCATCTGACCATCCATTCATCCACCCTTCCATCCATTCATCCACCCTTCTATCCATCCACTCTTCCATCCACCCATCTTTCTATCCTCTGGGGTGGGAAAAGAAATCAGAGCCGCAGAAATTCCCTCAAATTTCTCAATTCCCTTTCAGGCCCTGGTGAAGTCCCTTCTTCCGTTAGCTACGAGGAGCTGTTCAGCAGGAACGTGGTACGTGTCCTGCACCCCCTCCAGAGGAAAAGCCACTTAGACGATGGGTGGAGTCTCCTCCTCGGGGGCGGCCCCTCCTTTACGGAACCTCATTCTCCCCGAGGGATGGTTGCCCCCCCACCCCACCCTGTGTTGCTTTTCCAAAAGGCTCCGGGTTCGTCCGAGCCGGTTCCTTCCTTTCCCCGCGAGAGACCCTCTCTTTTTCCCCGCTGCTTCCAGGAGCTCTTCATGGCCCACTCCCAGAAGTACACCCGGGAGACCGTGCTGTCCCAGCGGGTCCGCGACTGGGAGGAGATGATGGGCCCACAGCTGGAGGAACAGGTGAGATTAGGGACAGGGAAGACCCCCCAGGGGCAGGGGACAGAGAACCGTGGTGGCCCAGTGGTTAGAATGCAGCATTGCAGGCTGGCCCACTGCCAGCAGTTCGATCCTGACCGGCTCACGGTTGACTCAGCCTTCCGTCCTTCCGAGGTCGGTCAAATGAGGACCCAGATTATTGGGGGGCAATTATGCTGACTCTAAACCGCTTAAGAGAGGGGGCTGTAAAGCGGTATATAAATCTAAGTGCCGTTGCTAAGTCGGAGGGAAGGAAGGAAGGACCCTCCCTGGTGGCCCAGTGGTTCAAAGGCAGCATTGCAGGCTGACTCACTGCCCGCTGCCATGAGTTCGATCCTGACCGGCTCAAAGTTGACTCAGCCTTCCGTCCTTCCGAGGCCGGTAAAACGAGGACCCCGATTGTTGGGGGGGGGGCAACAGGCTGACTCTGCACACCGCTTAGAGAGGGCCAGCAGGCACCGTGAAGCGGGATATAAGTCTATGCGCTCTTGCGATGTGGTCTTCAGCGCCCAACTGTCCCCCTCCTTCCACAGGAATCCCGCAGCGCCTTCGACATCCACAGCTACGGAGACCAGCTGGTGACCCGGTTCAGCCGCCTGGGCGAGTGGCACTCGTTCGCCAGCCTGCTGGCAGGGCAGCCGGCCTTTGAGGTCTGCCGCGCCATGCTGGCCTCCCTGCAACTGGTGAGCATGTCTGCAGCCTGGGGGGGGGGGGGGGGGGGGGGGGGGGGGGGGGGGGGGGGGGGGGGGGGGGGGAGGCAGGAGGGCCAGGCCGTTGCCCCACAGGGAGAGAGACCAGGAGCAGCGGGCTAAAACTGCAAGGAACTTCGCGACTGGGCGACCCAGCAGCCGTTGAGACACGGAGGGGAAGGTTTTTGCACATGGGCAGGGCTCTCCCGACTTTTAAGGCTTGTGGACTTCAACTCCCAGACTTCAATTCTCACTCGGGGGAATTCTGGGAGTTGAAGTCCACAAGTCTTAACCGTTGCCAGGTTTGGAGAGCCCTGTCCACGGGCAGCGTTTTGCAATCTGGGCAGCTG